TCTCCAGTCTCCACCCATCCTATGATCACACGGGGAAAAGATGGGATTTGTAAACCAAAGATTTTTCCAGGATTCATGGCTCTCACATCTAGTGCTCTTCACCAAGTCTTACTCACTCAAAAAGATCCTAAAGGTTTTAAAACGGCATCTAAACATTCCACGTGGAGGGATGCTATGCATGATGAATTACGTGCACTTCAAAAAAATAATACCTGGGAACTAGTTCCAAGACCTCATTAATCAAATGTGGTTGGCTCCAAATAGGTCTTTCGCACCAAATATCGATCAGATGGTTCCATTGATCGGTATAAAGCGCGTCTAGTAGCACAGGGTTTCACTCAGGTTCATGGCATTGATTACTCTCATACGTTTAGTCCAGTTGTGAAAGCTTCCACTGTCCGTATCATTCTTTCCATAGTTGTTCATCAAAACTGGCCTTTACATCAACTGGATGTAAATAATGCGTTTCTTAATGTTCATCTGACTGAAACTGTGTTTATGGAGCAACCACCAGGGTTCATTGATTCCAGGTATCCATCTTATGTGTGTCGTCTCAAGAAAGCTCTTTATGGCCTTAAATAGGCTCCACGAGCCTGGTTTCAACGTCTCAGTACCTTTTTGATTCATATTGGGTTTACATGTAGTCGAGCAGATCCCTCTCTATTTATTTACAAACATGACTCATGTATTCTTTTTCTTCTTGTCTATGTTGATGACATAATTTTAACCAGTAACAATAAGGAGTCCATTGCTAAATTTGTTACCAGGTTACACAAGGAGTTTGCAATTAAAGATTTGGGGCAGTTGAGTTATTTCTTGGGACTTGAGGTGCTTTACACCAGCACTAGGTTGTTTCTTACTCAGACTAAATATGCTCTTGATATATTATCAAGAGCTGGTTTGCTAGATGGCAAGCCTGTTTACACTCCTTTAGCCACACCCGAACCTCTCACAAGTTCTGGTGATCCTTTTCATGACTATACTTTGTATCGATCTCTAGTTGGCGCTCTGCAATACCTTACCATCACTCGTCCAGATCTCTCTTATGCAGTAAATCAAGTGAGTCAATTTCTGCATGCACCTACAACTGCTCACTTTCTGGCTGTTAAACGGATTCTACGTTATGTCAAAGGAACTTTGTCCTTTGGTCTCGTCTATCAAATATCTCCTTCTATTCCTCTTGTTGCTTATTCAAATGCAGATTAGGCTCGTTGTGTAGAGACAAGACGATCTACTTATGGTTACTCCATTTTTCTGGGTGGAAATATTGTCTCATGGAGTGCCAAGAAGCAACCAACAGTATCTCGTTCTAGCTGCGAATCAGAATACAGGGCCATGGCAAATACCGCTTCCGAAGTTGTTTGGATTATTCATCTTCTTAAAGAACTGCAGATTCCCATCTCCCCAACGCCTTGCTTGTATTCTGACAACAAAAGTGCTATTTTCCTTAGTCAAAATCCTGTGGCACACAAACGAGCTAAACACATTGATATTGATTATCACTTCATTCGTGAATTGGTCAGTTCAGGCAAGTTAAACACCAGGTTTATCCCTACAACTCAAATGGTTGCAGATCTCTTTACTAAAAGCCTGTCTAGACCATTGTTTGAGTATTTTCGTTCCAAGCTATGTGTTGGACCACCTCCTTCTAGCTTGACGGGGGGTATTAACGATAAAGTGATAAAGCCAAACTCAACTCTATCTACTTCTAGTTGATAGGCATATTGTTGTATTTTAAATGTATTCAAATTTATCTTATCATGTAATCTCATTTATACTATATATATGGAATACAACTCTCTCCATGATTTTATTGGAGATTGATTATATATACTCTTATAATGATTCTTATTTGAATTTGTAGCTTCGTAAATATATGCATATTTTCTAAACATAAAGGTGCCTCCAATACTTTTAAGATTTTTTTTTCGTGAAGACTGAAGCTAATTTTCCAGGAGTTATGCTTATATTAGTTTTTAACAGTTAATGTAACGGTGGATTCTACTGAAAAATAGTAAGAAAGCTGCAAACATCTGGGTATCCGGTTTCGGTTCCAAAATTTAAAGAACTGTTATGACCGGTTCCGGTTCCGGTTCCTACATTCCAAGAATCGCTGGTTCCGGTTTCGGTTTCGAGTCTAGACAAATAGGGCGGGTACCCGCCTATGCTCACCCCTAGTTGTTGGCCCCATATAGGGATGAGCAAAGGAACCGATCCGGCTGGAACCGGCCCGAACCGGACCCGGCCTGGGAACCGAAGTCGGCCGAATTTAAGAAACGAACCGGACCGCCGGTTCTACCGGTTCCCGGTTCCTACCGGTTCTTGCCGTGTCTTCAATGTTGGAACCTGTCATCGTGAAATAGCAACATACAGTTCCAGTTTTTGCCGGTTCTATCTGGTCCGGTTCTACCGGTTCTCGGTTCCAAAAATCCACAAGAATATCGTCCCGGTCCCGACCCGACCAGTTCCATTGGGTTCCAGTTCCGGTACCGGTTCCGATCGGTTCCCCGGTCCAAATGCTCATCCCCAGCCCCATATGATTTGATTTCAATTTAAAATCAGAAAAAAAAATATAGAATAAGTTACTATCTATTTTTTTCCCAAACATACCCTATGTTTCTTAAAACGGAAAGGAATTAAAAAAATCTTTATTTTGTGTCTAATTTATATCGTACTAATGAATTTTGAACATGTATAAATAGAAAGTTGAATACGGTGAGGGTCATACGTCCTTTTCGTTCGTTTTTCATCCACATGTCAAGTTTGGGCATATGAGCATTTTGGCTTTTGTATTATTTCACATACACATCACTAGGGGTGAGCATTTGGACCGAACCGGACCGGACCGGACCAGACCGACGCTTGGACCGAACCGGTTATGGAGAATATTGTGGACCATGGACCAGACCGGATGAGTCGTGTCCGTGTCCCGGTCCGGGTCCAGGTCCGGGTTTTCCGGCTCTTGGACCCGTTTGGACTGGTACATCTTTAATTGCATAGAGTACAAGTCGTTAAAATAAGTTTTTAGGTTTGATACGATACAACTTGTAAAAATGATTATGTTTCCGTTTCATGCATAACTAATCTACCTTGATGTTATAATATTATAAGTTGCAAAATTAATTTTCCAAATAAAATCAACTAACATATAAATCAAGTTCACCAAGATTCCTTTCATATGATTTATCTATCAAATATACATAAAATTCAGAATTATAGTATAAAATGATAGTTAAAAAGTTGAAATATTTTAGCTTTGATAGCTCAACTTTGAAAGATTGTAACTCACTGAATATAATACCAAAATCAACAAAAATTATAGTCTAAATTTATCTACAAACTGTAAACTAAATGTTGGAAAAAACCTCAGGTCAATCCGACTTAAAACGAATGAGTTATAGTTGTTTAAAAAATTTCACAGATTACAAAATTTTAAAAAACTTGCTGAAAAGCTGAAAATTTTCAGCTTTGATAGCTCAACTTTAAAAGACTGTAACTCATTGAATATAATACCAAAATCAACAAAATTATAGTCTAAATTCATCTACAAACTGTAAATTAAGCGTTGGAAAAACTCGTGTGTAAATCCGACTTAAAATGAATGAGTTATGGTTGTTTAAAATTTTTCACAGATTACAAAATTTTAAAAATGTTGCTGAAAAGCTTAAATTTTTCAGCTTTGATAGCTCAACTTTGAAAGTCTGTAACTCATTGAATACTATACCAAAATCAACAAAACTATAGTCCAAATTCATCTACAAACAGTAAGTTAAACGTTGGAAAAAACCGCGTGTCAATCCGATTTAAAACGAATGAGTTATGGTTGTTTAAAAAATTTCACTGATTACAATTTTTTTTTTTTAAATCAGGTCCAACCAGTTCTAAACCCGGTAAAAACCGGACCGGACCGGGAAAAAAACCGGACCGGACCGGGATGGATTCCTAGAACCGAGAATCGGCCCGGGGTACAAAAAAACGGTCTGGTCCGGTCCGATCCACCGGTCCAAATGCTAACCCCTACACATCACAACAGAATTTAAAATTGATTTGGTCAAGAACAAATAAACTACTAGTTAAATTATCGAAGAAAAAATATACCTCTTCTTTATTCCATAGCTTCTCCAATAGTAAATTTATGCTAATATTCAAAAACCTTTGTCATTTCATATTTTCACATATTTTCACTTACTTTAACATCTAATTAAATATTTTCTCTAATGATTAGCTTCATCCAATAAATTTCTTTTATATAAATTTAACTAATTTATTATAAACTATCTAAAATGTTGTATAAAATCTTCTAATTTAATTTGTAGATTTTTAAACACACATCGTATAAGATATTTTAATAAAAAAATATTACTAGATAATTTATTCATGACTTGTTTAAACACACAACAACTTATTCCTTAAGTTATTAAAACTTTATTTCTTATCTTCTTATCTTCTCAAACTATCACATTTTCCACAATAACCTTTTATGTCATGTGACTGCAAATTCCTCCTACAAAACACTTTTTATCAAAACCTAACATTTAGAATCTTAAGATACTTACAAAAATGCCCTTCATAACACGAATATAACATGTGTCATTCATATACATATACATATTGGTAATAATGGAATATAAAAAAGCAATTAAAAAGGAAAAAAGGTAAAGGGTGAAAAAGGAAAAAAGAAAAAGATGGGAATCAATTCAAGAAGAGTATGATGCAGACACCTGGCCAATGATGAAGGCTAGGTCTTTTTCAGTGCTCAAATCTACTTAAACCAGATCACTACTTCTATTCCAATTGTACATTACGCAAATAAATTTGTACATTAATCTGACGTTTTCAGATTCAGCTCTGGAAAACACACAACCGAAAAGATGATATTTTTATTTCGCCCGCACTCAATAATACCTTTCGAACTTCGTACGACCTCCTAACAAGACGACGCCTCAATCTTCATCTTTCTTTCCCTCTCAACTTGTAAGCAGCTTTAAACCCTAGATTTTATGTGGACTGTATTTTACATTGTTAATTCTTAGGGTAATCTCACATGTGGACATAGATGTTTGCAAATTTGTGTTTCTCTTACATTACTTACATGTCGTTCTTGTGAATTTCATCGGTGTGATCGATTTCGGTTATTCCAAGGCCATGCGTCTGGAGTTAGTACGTAGTGTGGTTCTTTCTCGTGATTAATTTTTTTCTTTATTTGCGTTATTAAAAGACTGTGTTTAGTCCAATTTGTTCGACTTATAATATATGATCGATGATTGATTGATTGGAGCAGATCTTCATTTCTGTTGTTGAGATTTTGGTGATGTGAATAGAACGTATAAGTATCAATCATATCGCTAGTAACAATTTTGTGCTCCTAATTAAACCTTTTGGCTTTGGATTTTATTCCGGATTAAATCAATTTCAGAGCTTGTCGAACTTTAATTGTTCACTCGATCATCAATATGCCGTCTAGATGTTAGCTAACAAAATGAAATTCCTTTTTTTTGTCAATAAGATTTGGATAATTACACGAAAAGTACTACAAATTCCATTTTTGGATGTTAGATGTTCATTCAAGAGTGAAACAATTCCCAACTTTTGTCAATAATGCCCTCCAGTTTGTCATGATGAAGGATCATTTTATACATCTAAATAACAATCAGACATTTCTACTAATTAGCATGTAAATTCGATTGTTGCCATTTTGAAGCTTCAATGATAGTATATTGCTTCTGAATTGTGGAAGTCTTGCATATCATAATGATAACAAATGCTCATACTTGAGTTGGATTAGAGTATTGAAATGAAAAGAAACTGTTTCTCATTATCTTGTTTTGTATTTGAATGTTACTATATATCTTTCATGTGACTTATATAGGCCTTCGAATTGTTTTCTTTCCTAAAATTCCACCTTTTCCCATACATTTCAGGTACTATCTACTGTGATAACACCATTTTGACACTGTCATATCCTGAAGGGGGTTACATGCTGTGTAGAATTGCATGCATAATTGGTTTGACTTAGTGGTTAACCATTAAAGTTGAGCACTTTTTCATCAATGAAAAGTCTATACCGAAGGTCAGTGAGATTAATAAACATTTATCTTCTAATTCAAATTACAAAATTCTGTACAATTGATTACTTACATTTATGTATTCAGTGGTTTACTCAAGAAGTCAAATGATAATGGGAGACTCGTTGCAATTACAATCATGGCAACGATCTTTGGATACTTCATTGGTGTTTCTTTTCCATATATTTCTTTTACTAAGGTAGTTTACCTTTCAAATATTCACTACACTTAAACAACAAGAATCATCATTTGTTAGAATTACCATTATACCCTTCAGATTAACTTCCCTCCAAGCATTCGTTCACCATTTGATACAACAATGCATGGAGATAACTCGAAAGCTCAAGAACGCAGTTTCCCTGAAAATCTTGGTTCATCTAATACACCTGAACTACCTAAGGTAATATTATTTTATAAAAGTATGTAAATAACTAAATAAGTGATTAATTATCTGATTAAATAAATTACTTTTTTTGGCTTCAGATATATGTTCCAACAAATCCTCATGGAGCAGAATCATTGCCTCCAGCAATTGTAGTTACAGAGACTGATTATTATTTGAGAAGATTATGGGGTGAACCCTCAGAGGTATATATAATATATTTATTAATTATTATATCTTTTACTTTAACTATTAAGTTTTGTTGATTACTAAAAGGTGTTGAAAATTTCAGGATTTGAAGAAGAAGCCAAGGTATTTGGTAACTTTCACTGTTGGTTGGAATCAGAGGGATAATATAGATGCATCAGTAAAAAAGGTTATTTTCTTTTTTGATTTAAATTTTATATGTTAATTTGAAAATGTCAAAATACTGAGATATGGGTTTGATGTTTTATAGTTTTCGGATGATTTCCAAATCATGCTTTTTCACTATGATGGAAAAACAACAGAATGGGATCAATATGAATGGGCAAAAAAGGCAATTCATGTCAGCATAAGGAAACAATCCAAATGGTATGCTTTAGATTCCCATTATCTAATTTTCCAAATTAACCATTTTGACCTTTTGTATAAACATTTTTTAAAATTATTTTTCACTTTTTTCTAAGGTGGTATGCAAAGCGATTTTTGCATCCAGATATCGTATCATCATACGATTACATTTTCATTTGGGATGAAGATCTTGGTGTTGAACATTTCAATGGGGACAAGTATTTTCCCTCTTCTCTCCTTCTAGATCTTTCCTTTTAATATATATAATTTTTTATATAAATTTTTGTAACATTTCAGGTATATACAATTAGTTAAAAAACATCGTTTAGAAATTTCTCAACCTGGCCTTGAACCCAATGAGGGATTAACCTGGGAAATGACTAAAAGAAGAGGCGATAAAGAAGTTCACAAGTACATCACCTTTTTTATATATTTTTAATTCTAAAAATTAAAATCCAAAACAACTCTTAAAAATTCTATATCTTTGACTTGGTCAACAGAGTTACAGATGAAAAACCAGGATGGTGCAGCGATCCACATCTACCCCCATGCGCAGCGTATAATTTCTCTCCCCTTCATACATACATACATACATACATGCATGCATACATATAATGAATACCACTTGCTTTAATCCAGATTTGTAGAGATTATGGCGCCTGTATTTTCTCGTGATGCGTGCGGTGTGTGTGGTATATGATTCAGGTAAAATTTCAATTTAACATTAATTTACAAGTTTGGTCCCTGTGCTTTACCAAAAATTGCAAGTTTAGTCCATATTTGAAAATTGTCCCAATGTCATCCTTAAGTTTGCAATTTCATTGCGAATATGGTCTCTGAGTCGGATTTTGGACTGAACTTGCGATTTTATGTAAAGAATAAGGACTAATTTTGTAACTTAATCTTAATTTAATTTCAAATTTTTTTTTTTTTGTAAACATGCAGAATGACTTGGTGCATGGATGGGGTTTGGATTTTGCACTTAGAAGATGTGTAGAGGTCAGTTTTCTTTACACATAATAGCATTTATGTAAAACAAATTATAGCAACATTGCTATTATGGGTAAAAAACAAAGTACATTAATGATTTTTCTAATAATATTTTTCTGTTAATTAAAAAACTTTGGATTTTCACAGCCTGCACATGAAAAAATCGGTGTGGTTGATTCGCAATGGATCTTGCATCAACATATTCCTTCATTAGGGGGGCAGGTGAGAGTCATTATGAATTATGACCTTCAAATTTATTATTATTGTTTTTTATAAATAAATAAATGATGGTTTTATTTTATTATTTAGGGTGAGTATGAGAAGGGAAAAGCTCCACGGGAAGGGGTAAGATAATTCTACCTACACATTTTTATAAATAAGTTATTTTCTAGGTCTAGGTCCTATATAAATGCAACATTTATAATCTGTTTGAGTAAATTATTACAATTTTGGTCCTTGAATTAGCTGGTTTTTATAGTTTTGGTCCTAAAAAGTTCAGTTGTAACTTTGATCTTTATTTGAGGTTTTAGTAACGTTTGTGGGCCATGTTCCAAGTAAAATTACTATTTTTAGGACCAAAATTGCAAAAATCAGGGACAAATATTCATTTTATTTAGAACATGGACCAAAATTGCAAAAGTTTTTTTTTTTTTTTTTTTTTAATCAGCTATACTCAGGGACAAAATAGTAATTTTACTTGGATTAGGGGCAAAAACTTCAAATAAGGACCCAAATTGAAAAAGATAATGTTTTGGGTCGAAAATTTCAAAAAAGAACTATACTCACGTCAGGGACAAAAAATAGTCATTTTATTTAGAACATGGATAAAAAATGGTACAAGAAGCTTAAATAAGGACCGAAATTACAAAATTGTGAAAATCAAAGATAATCAGGGAGTAAACTTAGTAATTATGTTATGATTGTATAGGTAAAAGATAGGTGCAAAAATGAGTGGGCACTATTTCAAGATCGACTTGTGAGTGCTGATAAAGCTTACTTGAAGCAGAATAGGACTAAACTTTGATTTTATATTTATTTTTATAATTTTGGTGGGCTAATCATTTTTGTACAATAGGCAATGATGTTTTTAGCTTTTGTACATATATAAAAAAATACCAAATACTTAATTAAATATGTGGTTTGTTTGTTTTCTTTCCTGATCGAATATGTGTATGTTCAATAAATGTTAATATAGGATTTTTTTTAAATATAACGAATTATTTCCTAGTGGTGTAGTGTAAATTGTTAAATGATTTGATTCTCGATAGAAAAGGCAGAGATGATCCTAACATATTTTAGGCTAGAGGCAAAAATAAAGAAGTTGTCTTTTCATAAAAAAAAAAATAAGAATAATCATATAAAAATGACCATCATAAATATGATTTTATCTCTTTTATAAATAACTTTCGAGTCTTTTGCTGAAATAACTACAATCCGAAATGGGTCTCTTTCGGACTAACTTTATGTTGCATTAAATGTAACTTATGCTTTTTTTTTTTGGGTTTTAGTCGAAACCACGACTTTTTTGGATTGGTGGTCATTTTGAGCTAGTTTACATGTAGTTTTGGTCCCTGTCAAAACTAAAAAGACTATTATTATACCCTTAATGAATTTAATTTTCATTTTTCTTTCACTTTTTAAAATTATTATTATTATTAAATATAAAACCGGGCCCACCTCTCTCTCTCTCTCTCACATTCTCTCTCACTCACTCTCTCTCATCTTCTTCCTGATGATCCATCACCCAAAACACCCACTCTCATTGTAGAACCAGTGAAAAAGAAGGAAAGGACCGGTGATTCTTCGCCAGTAGTAGCAGTCCCAGCACCCGCTGTTAAACACGCCCATAATTGTTGTTGTACTGTTCTGATACCCCTTCACAGCCTTCTCAACGACTGTCATCTCATTCGTCTCCTTCCCCTGTCAAAGAACTAGAATCATCGGTGATGTTTTCCCGGTTCCCCACTGTCGCCACCTCCATATCCCCTTCCCTTCCGCCTTCTGCCAAGAAACACCACCACAAGCACCCTCTCCGACTGTTGCTACCCTTCTCAACCCCCACAACCCCGATTGAAGGCTTGAACCGCCGGAAAAATCGACTCCTTCTTCGTGCTTCATAAGGAATAAGGAAAAGAAGAAAGAAAGAAGATGTTGCTTGCGGTCCCTTTTCGTCTCCGATCAGATGGGAATCGAAGACCCATTTCATTTGACTGACAGACCAAACACAACCACAATAAGTCTCGATTTTCACCCTTATTGCTTGATTGAACTCCTCAGTACCACCGGCAGTCGCTATTGGTTTGATTCCCGATCAATCCTCTTTTCCTTCCTGTGTTGCAGATGATTGGACCAGAAGACGAAGTAGGTCGTCGGAGCGGCCCTACAGTGCCGACCCCCTCTCGTTTTGATTGTTTTGAAGACGAAGAGGAAGAGTTGCTCCTTATTTTCTTGGTTTTTTCTTAAACAACACACACTCCAGATTTTCAGATTTGTTCTTGAGGAAGAAGACGATCAGAGAGAGAGAGAGAGAGAGAGAGATAGAGAGAGAGGGAGCGAGAGAGGGTGGGGCCCAATATTTATTAATAATAAAACATTAAATTAAATAGAAAAAATATAAAAAAAATATACAAGAAGGGCATTTTAGTCTTTTTAGTTTTTCGAGGGACCAAAACCACAGTCAAACTAGGCCAAAAGGACTACCAATCCAAAAAAGTCGTGGTTTGGACTAAAACCCCAAAAAATGCATACCACAGTGACCATTTTTGCAATTTTGTGAATTTAAAAAAATGTTTGATGCAAATGAAAAAAAGTATATTATATATTAACAAAATCTGAACAATTTAAATTTAACGGTCATTGGTAAACTGTTAAAAATTGGGTCATTTACACATATCTTTCATAATAAGATGATCACTTTTATAGTTATCCCTTTAAATTCAGTTTTAAAATAAATTTAATGCTAAAGTTTGAAATCAGGCCTTTTAACTAAAAATAAATTATTCTAAACAAATAAACTTAAATATAGAAATTTAATTAGTGGAAATTATATACAAATCAATTGAAAACAAACAAATCTTAACCTACTAAGAACCTGTTTGATAAGCCTTCTAACTGGGTCCAAAGTTAAGACCCGGTCTTCAATCCCTAATTAACTTGTTTGTTTTGCCTTTTGCATCCTTGGACCCGGTCCCTAATTTTATGCTATTTTGTCCTCCAACAAAAAGAAGCCGACTCACTCCTTCTTTTACCTTTCACGTATTTGCCCTTCATCTTTGTTCCCATATAGAATTCATGCTTTGCATCTTCCTACAGGAACAATATTCACCATCTTTCCTTCCCATGCTCGTGCATTCTCTCTCCGTCTCGACTCCGATATGAAAATATAGATTAAAGTGTGAGGGGAGAGCTCTGAAGGTCGTCATCGTCGACTGATTGTGGTCGTATTTGTGGCCTCCTTCCGATCGAAACTAAGGTTTCTCAATCCAATATAAAGGTACTCCCGAGTCCTCTCTTTGATTCTTGTATTATTTGACACTTGGAAAGAGCTTCAATTAGTGATTTTTGGAGTATAATCTGAGGTATGCAGTTTTTACCTAACTCTGCTACTCATTACACATAATCTGAGGTATGGAGTTTTTACCTAACTCTTCAATATGTAAATTATTTTCTAGGTATGCAGTTTTTACCTAACCAAGAAGATTACTAAAATACTCTGCTGGTAAAATGGTCAAAGCATAGTAGGAAACAAGTAAACGACCCCATGGGTAAAATAATTGATACGTAGAGTGGAGGAAAGTGCGTTGCATCAGCTCAAGCATTATCAAATGCCATTACAAATCGGTGCTAATTGTATGATTGAACACTAGGAAGAGAATTTAACAGTGATCCCTCCTAATAGATGCACATGTTATAAATCAATGCTTATCCAAACAAATAATATGATAAATAAAATCAATGGAAGGTGCTATTTATTTTGAATTTTTTTATTGTAATCTATTCTGTAGGTACTTTTGGTCATAAATTTTGACCATATTTTATTTTGAATCTGGCAAACATGTTATGATCATGGTAATGTTGGTATTAAACAAGCATATTATGGCAGAGTTTTTTTCTTTGTATTTTTGTTTGGAAAAATTTATGCTCCCTTAATTGTACAACAAAAATAGTTCTTGAAACCATTCTTTAAAGACATTTTATAAACTGGTTTTAATTATCAAGATTGAATATTCTTCCTTACGATTATAAACATAATTCCAAACAAATGAAAAAAGAATCAAACAACATAAAGATTAGTCATTTGTGGTCATAAGGGTAATATAGTTATTTTTCATCATTTACCATAGTCAGTCAGAAAATAATCAAACAACATAAATTCAGTCAGAACTTCTAACTCAGTCAGCTTCTAATCCAGTCAGCTTTAACTCAGTTAGCAACTATCAAACGATCCCTAAATTAGACTTAGTTTTATATTTAATTTTGTTTAAAACCTGATAGTAATTAAACTAAGAGAAATTAAATATCAGAAACAAGTTTTGCATTCTCAATTTCTCATCATCACAAACACAATTGAAATTAGATGATTCTAAATGCATTTCATAGTTGTAGATGTGGAAAATATTTGTGCGAAAAACGAAAAGATTGAAGAGGTTTAAACATGGTTAATCATACCGTTGACATTGTTACATCGCATTTGTCCATAACAATAACAAAAAAAAAAAAAAGATGATTAAGTTTTGAACCAAAACATCCATTATAGAAATCTACTATCCACATGATAATATGTAACTTAAAACATCATATTTACTAAAAAAAAAACTCAAAACTATCTATTATTGATTATATATTCTTTAAATCAATAAAACTATTAATCTTTGGTCGATTATATTGTTTCAAATGTCGTCAACACAACATGGTAGGACAACAAAATCGAAATATTTTGATTGGAGTAATTTTTTTCTATTTATTTTGCAGTTAATTAATACAAAAAATAAAACAAAAAAATTAGCGCGGTTTTCGCGCGTGGTTTGACAGAGTTTTGAAAGATGAGGCATAACTTCAAACTCGTATCAATTATCATTGCTTCCTCATCGATCAAAAAACCTTCTCACGGATCACTCCCAACATTCTCCGATAACTCTCGCCGGTGACGATCTAGTGCCGGACGAGAGAGGACGACGGCGAAGGTATCTTTCTGTATCCACATATCTATATATAATTTGCGACATTATCTTAATAATTTGCATAGTTTTTTTATAATCCTGTGAGCATTGATTGTTTGATTCGTCGTCGGTCTCTTAATACAGATAAACCTCCATTTCCTTCGTTAGGAATCATTGTTTATGTTTAATTTCATGTAACTGTAAAATAGAATTGAATGTGTGTATTCGTAATAGGATAACGAATAATCTCATTCGTTGTTGTTTGTTTTTCATTGATTAGCTTTCTCATCCGTAAATTTTGTGATTTCGGCGTATTGTAATCGTTTTAACTGGTTGATGTAAGTTATTTTATTGAAAATTGAGAGAAAATGTCGTGATTCCGTGAATGGATGTTTTTTTCCCCAAAAAAGAGATTGTGATATTGCTTTTGCATAGGAAGGGATCATTATCATTGATTTGTTATTAACTCTCATTCGTTATTTACCTTATCCGATTGTGAGGAGAACAATTAGGAATGCGATCATTTGATGATATACCACAACTTTTTCAAATCCCCAATCTATTCGTATCTTGTTGATTGTTTACATGACTATTTTAATCATGCCTTGATTACCACATTCTGGCTTTGTTTTCTGTAGCTTTAAGATATTTCAATTGTCGTGAAGCTACCATGACTGCTGAACTTCAATTAAAGGAGGAATCAATGGGTGGATTGGTTAAAGTTCCTTCAAACCAATCGATCCGTGGAGATAAGGAAGATGAATCTGATGAATACTTCAGTAACTCAGATTCAATGGAAGAAACACGTTCAGAAACAAGCTGGTCTGATTTATCCCCTCGGGTATATACCACTTTCACTACTAAATCCACTTTCCTTTTTCCTCTTTCTTCCTTACATCTGTTACACCAATACCTAATCTGAATACAGACATGAACAAGCTAACCTCCTTGTTGTTCTTCAGGAAGTTAATCTTCCATCTCCCAAGTTTTCACTTGCTGTTGAGTTTTTGAGAAGATTACATGGTTCAGTAGGTTAGTTTCACTTGAGTTAATCTTTTTACTAAACATCATACACAAAATGGATGAATTCTTTTGTGAAAGATTACAAAATTGGTGTATATTTCAGTGCAGAAAAAGGGTGGTTCAGCCTTTGATGATGATCTTGAATGGCAAGATAGTTTCTTAAGCCATAATGATTCAACATTTCCAAATGATCCAACTGGTGAACTCATCAATAGTTGGGGAGCTGCAGATTCCTCATCCTTTCGCATTCGTGGTGAAACTTATTTACAAAATCGCAAAAAGGTAGTAGTAATAAGTAATAACTATTCATTGATTTCTTAAAAAGTTTTAAAAAGATTATCTAAAAAAACTATTTATTGTTTTTCCTTTCAGATTACAGGAAAAGGCACAACAATGCAACTTGTTGCAGCCAACATGCTGAGATCAATCAACAAACAAGATGATTTGGCTGGAAGACCTGGTAGCATTTGTCAGGTTAAATCTAATATTCCTAAACCTTTTTTTTATAAAATTTTATCTCAATATAATAAAAGTTCTTGCAAATGGAAAGTTTACAAGATTTTTGTGCAGAAATTTGCAGCTGTGGAACGCCCAGATTTCTTTTTCATTGTAAATATGCAAGTAAGTTTCTTTTCTTTTTAAAAAAATATACATTCAAATTCATTGATTTTTTTTTTAAAAAAAAACTTAGATTACTATTTATGAATTATAATGATTTTGATTAAAACCAGATCCCGGGTCCCACATCAATTCTTCATATTGCTTTCTATTATGCAACAACTTCTCCCATACAAGATGTCCCCTTACTACAAAACTTTGTAGAAGGAGATGATGCATATAGAAATGCAAGGTTTAAGCTCATACCCCGTGTTTCTAAGGTCTGTATTTTTTAATTCCTTAAATAATTATTTTAACATTATAAAACTAAAAAGTATAATAAAAAATATGACAAAATGCTATTTTAGGGGCCATGGATTGTGAAACAAAGTGTTGGAAATAGACCATGTCTGTTGGGTCAAGTTCTCAAGATCCATTATGTCCGTGGAGTAAACTACTTAGAGGTGAAAATATTTTTTTTATAACTTTATTACATTATTCACTTTAAAAAAAAAATTTAATATTTTCTGAAATTATTCTATGATTTTAGCTCGATGTGGATGTTGGTTCATCTATGATTGCAAAAAAGGTGGCTAATAGAGTTGTGAGTACATTCAATCATTTGATAGTTGAATCAGCATTTGTGATACAGGTAAATTAACATAACTTTAAATAAATATAAAATTAAAAAAAATAATAATAATAAAATATTATATATTGTATTAAATCAGGGAAACACACCGGAGGAATTACCAGAACATGTGCTTGGGACATGTCGTATGAGCCATATTGATATATCAAAAGTGGCTACTACATAATAATAATGGAAAAAAAATGTTGTTGACTGAAAGTGTAAGGGGCAAATATGTTAATTGTCAAGTGGAGAGAGATGTAAGTTAACTTCCTTGAAGAGGTGAATTTGGACACGGCTTATAATACTAGATTACAGCGATAGTGGTTAACTTTTTTTCCTTTTTTAATTAATTTTTATTTCACGTTTACTAAAGCCCTGGTTAGAGGCTAAAAATATGATGAACAGAATTTAGCCACTTAACCAGAGTTAAAAATTGTTGTTGTCATTTGGTCCGAGTGATGCACCCTTGCAATCTTTGTATCACTTTTCAATCTTTCTTCTTACGGTTTTAGCCAACAATTATATGAATAAAATGATGTGTATTTTCTTTCATTAATTTTTTATCTATCTTTTGCTTTTCTTTTTTATAAAAGTATAGGAGTTTCATTATATATATATATATATATATATATATATATATATATCATGTGGATCTTATTTATATAAAAACTACTTGTTGGTTATTTTTAGTACTGCCTAATACATTTTGTGTGAGAAAAGGTTACTTTTAACCAAGTTTCTATGCTCACATTCCAACATGTTGACGTCTTTATCAAAAGTTTACCCCAATTTCATATTCGATCTGATTGTTCAACTATCTCCAACTCCAATGTAGGGGTGTATTAAAATTAGAATATCTTTGTAAATAGCTTTTTATATATTTAGTAAATTATAAATATCAATACTCATAAAAGAAATTAAATTTCTTATACATTTAAGATTATGATATTTGTTATATTTGATAAAATTAATAAATTTTTGTTATACTTTTCATCGTTTAAAAATGATGGTAGAAGAATAAATAAAAGAAATTAATGTCAATGTAATACATATATTTGGTACATATATTTGGGATATAGGAATGACTAATGAGATAAGGATACAAATACAAATATCAATGTCATCATATAAAAGGTAAAAGGTCAAATGAATGCGTCCGTATTTTAAAGCGGAGACTCATGGTCGTTTGTCTCCATTACGAAACAACAATTTATAAAGTTATAAACAACTAAACACGTTACTTTCAACATGTTTCCTTTTTTTATTAATTGAATCATTTAACTTTGATATACGGGAACTCATTTCAACATAATTGTTATACAATATTAAGTAAATTACATGAATCTTCCATGTGGTTTGGTGCAACTTGTAGTAGTGGTAGAGTTTGAACATTTAATTTTTTTGAGAGGCAAAATTATAATATGTATAAGAATTAGAAAGCGGGGGCCACAATCCAAATTTTATATTTTTAGGCCTTATATGTATACAAATTAATGGCTATTGACTACTTCTAACCAAACAATCAAGGGGCCACAACCCCTTCTGGCCCTAAGAAAGCTCTGCCCCTGTAGGTTACATCCCTATGATGATTTTTGTACCCTGACTTGTAGGTTACATCCCTATGATGATTTTTGTACTTGGAATGTCCATGATAGTTTTGTACTGTTTTGATTTCGGTCTCAAAATCTCATGATGTATGATGGTCAAATGTTACCTAAATCTTGATGTCTTTCGTATGGCTCTAGAGTGTGTTAGTGTTTCTGTGTTTGCATGTATGATGTTATTAAGTCTATGTTGTGTTACCATATTTTTTCTTGAGCTTACCTTGGGAAGTCCTTTTTTACGGAAAATTGGTCGTGTTATTATGAGAGTATAGGCCATGTGGTTTGGACATGGTTTCATATCATGCATTGAATCACTTAAAATTTTCTTTTTATATTGTTATTGAGTTTTTATTAATTAATAGTGTATATCGTTCTTGCAATGATTTTCTCCCCAAAAAAAAAGATAAGTTTATTTCGGTTGATGAGTTATAAAAGATTTAAGGGGTTTTACATTGGGCATGGATTGTTTACTATATCTAATGCTTTAATAGATGTTTGATTCTGGTTAGGGATGTTCGAAATCGAATATTCGAAAATTCCGGATAGTAGATTTTGATATCCGAATCCGTATCATAAATTTCGGATATCCGAAATTGCATATATAGATTCAGATATCTAAATTTTTTGTGTTTTTTTATCAACACAATTGACATATCTGATAAATAAACAACTTTTACAATAAGGATACCAAAACACAATCTAAAAAAAACCATTTTCGGATATCGGATATCCGAAATATCTAAAAATCTATAAAATGACTATCCGTATTCGAATATGAAAAACCAGACATCCGAATTTCTGATAATTTGGATCGAATTTTTGGATTTCAGATGTTCAAGTTTGAATATGAACACCCATAATTTCGATAATGCTTGTTTGAATATGAACACCCATAATTTCGATAATGCTTGTTTGAATCGAATTTTTGGATTTCAGATGTTTAGGTTTGAATATGAACACCCATAATTTCGATAATGCTTGTTTGGTGCTCCTCAAGCTTAACCTGTATATTCAGATGCGTAGATTTAGTCGAAGACTTGGAGAATGAAGAGCTTAAGGAAATTTGAAAGACTTTTGGGTTATTATGTTGATATAATGTTTACTTTAACTATTGTCTCTTGATATCTTTGTTACATCCTCCTATATGTTAATCTTTCAAAATAACCAAGTTGTAAGACTTGAATGTTGAGACATTATCTATAAAATGTTCACATAAATGTTTTTAAATCTTTAACTAAATTACAATATTAAATTTACTATACAATGGGTGTTACAATTTCTATTGTCGTGAGAAACAGACGAAGGTTGTGGAAACGATGAATAAGTTAGAAGGAGCTAATATGATAATGACATCGATAGATGCGATCTAGCTTCTTGATGGCATTTGAATTTTGCTTTAAGCACAACGAAAAGTTATCCCTTATTTGTAGGCCTTTCATCCAACTTGTGTGTTAATCCTTGCACGATAAAACCATCAAGCGTGCTATTGTAGATTCTAGCGGTTGGCACAACCCCATTGTTGAAGGTGGAAATTTTTTGTCAAGATATTAATATGAGCAGCCTTACAATGGAAGAGGAAGGACAGGGGAGAGGTGGGGGAGGGTGTTGGGATGAAACCTGTAGATTTGACTAAACTATAGGGATGATTTATGTAATTTATATTTTGACAAATAGAGTTCTAATAAAAAAAACATTTATATATGAAAAAGGTCGAAAAGGACTAGACAAGGGCAGATGGTAAGATGGTGATATGGATAGGTGGGGTGGAGTATCAAACTGTCGATGTTGCTTGAATTCGAATGGAATATTCCGTGGGCGGAGCCCACCCAAATGCTCCCTCTCTTTATAGTTTATACGCCATCCCACTTCATTTTTTATTTAACTATTATATATCCAAATAAATATTTTGTTTCACTTTATCATTGTCCTATCTTTATCAATTACTTCCTTTCGTGCCAAAATTATTGTCCACAAATTAAAAAACACACATTTTAATAGGGGTGAGCATAATAACCGAAAAACCAAACCAAAACCAAATTAACCGATATAACCGAATCATAATAACCGAACCATTTTAAAAATCGTTGGTTCGGTTTCTAATTTTTGTTAACCGATAACTAACGGTTCGATTATGGTTTTATAGGTTAACCGAACCATTATTAACCGAACCGCTAGCTTTATATTTTAATATATAAAAATTATAGATTATATATAAAATAATATAGTCAAACTTATTTAAGACCCATTAAAATTTCAAAATATAATTCATTAATCCTCACTTATCAGGAGACGAACAATCAATTAAATCATCAAAGGTTGATCACGTAGACACACACAATCTTCCAATCATGCCAATAGTTAGATTATTCATTAATGTTGTAATTCATAATCGGCTAATTCTACAATTTGTAAACATATTCACAATTAGTTTAATCTTCACACTCGTAATCCTAAATGGATGCTTCTCACACCGTTAATCCTAATCAAAGACTGTTTTGACTTTATAGACCTATTCGGAGGATTTTTTGACTTGATCACATTGAATGTATATGAGTGATTGGATTTTTTTTATCCAAATAACACATAATATAAATGTTTGTCAATTTTATTTTATATTTTTTTATTTAATCGCATTGAACGTGTATGAATGTTTGACTTTATTTTAATGTTAATATCAATTATCAATATGTGAAATTATTAATGTCAATGTTTTTTTTTTAAGTTTTATATTTTTATTGAATGTTTTATATTTTGAATGTGATTATGTGTTATCTCACTCTGAGTATCAAATGTACATATTTTATTCTATTACTATATGCTAGGTTACAAACATTGGCGTCGAGGACTTTTTTGTATTCCATTTTCATTTTTTATGTTAATATACTTTCGTCATTTATATTTTTTTTAACATTATGGTCAACCAATATTAACCATTAACCAAAATCGTTAACCGACAAAAACCATTAACCATAACCAATATTAACCATACCCAATGGCTACCAAAATGTATTAACCAATCATAATGGTTATGGTTCGGTTTTGACCAATAACCGAACCAAACCGCCCCATACACACCCCTACATTTTAACAAAACATTAATTATCATTAACTTTATATAATAAAATAACAGTTTTGTTCTTACTTTGAATTTAATAGCTTAGTTTGTTAAGTAATAATAAGGGGGTATTTTGGTAAAACTGTTATTTATTTTTAAAGGAAAAATGGACTATAATTTTGGGACGGAAGAAATATCATTTAGCATAAAGTGTTCGTCTACATATTTAAATTGTACAAAAAAAAACATTTTTAAAAAGGATTAGTGTAATGCTTATAAAAGCTAAACCAATATACAAAGTGGGATAAGTATGATATCACGTATTAACGAATAGGGATACTAATTAAACTAATTAATAAAAAATATTTATATTTTGTAATTGAAAATAACATTTTTTTTAAATGCCCCATTCCGCACTACTTATGAGTGTTTTGGAGGTGGTGAGATGTAACATAAAGCTACCTCAGAATTTAACGTCATACATTACAGATTGACATTGTATATTTCAGACTGACATTATTACAATATAAAATGTATAGTATTTCGAAGATCCATTCCGAAGTTACTAAAATAAGCAATTGTATATCATTTTTTTGTCCATTTTGTAGAGATTGTTTTATAAGTTGTGTAACACCTACATTCCGATTTTGTTTTTCCATTATTTGATTGATGGTTTTAAAATCCAAGGAAAAGTACAAGGAATGAGCGAAGCATGGGATTTTTTTTTAGGATTTAGCCTGGAGGCGTAGAATGTCGATAAGGAGGCGTGGGACGCCTCTGTTTATTCAAAAGTGTGATTATTTTCTCGTATATTTTTTTATTCAGAGCATCGATAAGGAGGCGTTAGGTGCCTATGCCCATGGGATGATGTCATTTTCTCA